GGGGGATTGTGGGGAGCACAGGGCTGCCTCTCAGTTCCGACCTACATCTATTCACGGCCAGCTCACCCCTTTTTGCTCTTGTGCCAGCCTCTGCCATTGGCATAAACAGCTCCTGTCTCCCTCTGGTTTTTATAGCGTTGACGACAGGGTGACTTTGTCTCTCTCGGCCCCCGTGCTCCTCAGCTCGGCATAGGGTCTCTTGTGCCAGCCTCTGCCATTGGCATAAACAGCTCCTGTCTCCCTCTGGTTTTTATAGCGTTGACGACAGGGTGACTTTGTCTCTCTCGGCCCCCGTGCTCCTCAGCTCGGCATAGGGTGGGCTCGCCGTTCCCTGGAGCCTCCTCAGGGCCCTCCCCTGCACCTTTTGCATCCCGTTCCTCTCTGAAAGCCTCTCATAGCAGCGTACAATGCACAGAAAAAATACTTCCTTTAAGCGGTCTGATGAACGCCTCCTTCTCTCATTAAAAAAGGGAAGGGGATCTGCGACCCTCCCTCCTCTGGGCAGTAATATTTGAAATTTGCCTTCCTCCAGACTGTTGCTGTCTCAGCGGTCTGAAGATATTTTTGCAGAACCAAACTCTGGCCAGAGCTCTTAACTTCCAGGCAAATCCAGCAGAGCCGGGCCATGTAACGCTCGGCGGTTATCTCAAGCAACCCTAAACTCATGGATTGAGCGCTGCGGCAAATACCTTTGGGGCCAAGGGCTGGGAAAGGATCTGTGGGGATGCTTGTAACAACAGCAATAGGTGGAACTCACGTTGGTCCACAGAGATCAGTCGACATCAGCCATGTCAGAAACTCCTGGTTCAAAACATCCTTCAAACTTTCTGAGCCTTCTGGAGAAGTAAAACTGCAAGAAATGTGCCGTGCCGTAAGGACGGAGGCGAGGCAGCAGCCCAGCGGCAGCGCATAACAGCCTCCTACCCCGCTCCCCTCAGCCTCACAGGGCGTTTTATTTTCCTTGTCTTCTAATATCTTTGACTCGCATAAACCCACAAAAACCTTTAACTTCTTCGTGACATGGCGAGCTCTTGGCACACAACAGCACCTTCATTGTGGCATGTGGACGTGCCTGTCGGGAGCGGGGGACGAGAAGGAAGGGTCCCGTGACCCCCCTGCACCCACCTCCTCTTGGAGCCAGCAGGCATCAAAACAAAGGCAGAGCCTGGGCGAAGCAGCATCCACGCTGCCAACGCACAAAGGGAAGTCTTTGTTCCCAAGGAGCACTTTGCCCTGCAAGTCGCGTTTTTTATTTGCAATTAAGGAGATTAAGGGAGACACTGGAAAACAATTTTTTTTTTAAATGAAGCTAGTGAAGCTGATTAATCTCTGGCATCAAAGGTTTCCCTCCCCCCTCTCCCCCCCCCGAACAGGTTAGACAAACATCTGTCAGGAACGGTTTGGGGCGCGTTGCTCCTGCCTTGGAGCAGAGGTCAGACGACGCGACCCCCTGGGATCCCTCAAAGCCCTCGTTTCTTTGACTCTCTATTTTCCGTATGACTAGCAATGCTCGGTCTCTGAGTTTCTGAGTCCTTGGCCTGAGACACCTCTGTGATCCATAACTGCGCTCGTTTCCCCCCCCCCAGGGCTCAGCCCCTGCGCCCGGGTTTCTAAAGCAGTTTTCCTGCAAAGGCTGTAAGAGACAACAAACGCCCCCGGATTCTCGTTCTGGGTGCCCGTCCCATGGCTCCCTGTAGGCAGCAATTCCTTTTTTTTTTTCTCGCTAGGATTGTGCCTGAAGGATGCGGGCTGCGTGCGATAAGTGCCTTTTTTCCCTTTTTGCCACCATTTTAGGACTAAGCAGCAGCAACCTGTTAGGTTTTGTAAAATCCCCTTCATGTTAAAGAAAGAAATTAATTTGTTGGTGGTTTTTGCTTTTTTTTTTTTTAATATAGGAAGTGCCTGAGAACAGATTATTCTCTGGACTCGTGTCCAATTTGCTTTTTGAACACTCGTGACATAAGCTGGGATTGGGGGAGGTGAAACGGGCTATTGACAGGCTGTGGATGTGCTGACACAGCACAAAGCCGCGCAGCGCTCAGACGCACACGCGTGCTCTCAGCCAGATGGCTTGGGAAACGCAGGCACGCGCCGCGGCAGCGACAGCTCCATATGGGCTCGGCTACCTTGCCCAGAGGTACCTGCACCGAGCGAGCTCCTATCGCCATCGTTCCCACGATTGTGATGATTCTAAGACGATCGCATCTTAAAAAACCCCAAAGCTGAGCGTGCCCAGTAAAGGGCAGAGATCAGAAACAACCTGGGAAAGGAAATCCCCCCCGGAGCAGGCGAGTACCTCTTCAGCGTGGTTTCACATTTTGATGTCAGGCTTTTCATCACCAGAGCTTGTAGCAGTGGTACGAGGACAGAGCCGGTTTGATTCTTTTTTTAAAAAAATGAACTGGTAAAGGTGCTGAGCCTGTGAACGAGTGCTGGGGCTTGGGGGTCATCCCCCCCCCCGTGGGTTGATTTGATCAAATCAAAATGGTTTGCAGAAATGCATTGGTTTCAGCTGGGCTTTTCACTGGGGAGTTTCCTTTTGAGGGGGCTTCGTGTTGACGAGGTCAGAGCACAGCGGTTTGAGTTGGGCGGTGCTGGGAGCAGATGCGCTTCAGCCCTGCCAAGAGCCCGTGCTTGGACCTTATCAAAGCGCTGGGTTTTGATGGGGCTGTGCTGGCATTTGCCCACAAAAATTGTCTGGATTTTTGAAATTTGTGAGAAGTTTCAACGTTAGAGAGGCTTTTCTGGTCTTTGTTCTTTCCCTCACTCATGGGACAGAATTGCAAAACCTGAAACTTCCTTTTGAAATCAAAATCCTCTCGTTCTCCCGAGTGACATCGTCACCATCGATACCCGCCCCAAACGTTCCCTCAGACATTAAACACACGGGGACCTCATCCCTCCCTGCGACCAGGCTTTCTCTCGCTGTTCTCCCACCTCACCTCTGATTTTTCTTGGCTTTCAGAAGCCATGCGAAGAAGTCTTTGGCCTCCTGGGTGCCCAGCTCCACTCTCTGGCCGTTCGCCGCCGATACTTGGGGCTCAGCCTCCCTCTTGTACGGCTCGATGATGTTGCTGGGAAGGCGAAAGGGGACGGTATCAGCCCGAGGTGCCACAAGAGGGTGCCCAAACGCTGCTTTTCCCCAAGCCCCAGCTCCCTCCCACCCCATCGCGGCGGCGGCCTGGGGCAGGGAGGGGAGCGCGGTGCCCTGGGCCGGCAGAGCAGAAACACTTCGAGGACTTAGAAAAACAAAAGGAAAAAAAGAAAACCAACTCCCTGGAGAGTCACTGCTGCAGTCCAAGAAAAATATCCTCGGCTCTACGTTCTTCTGTAGCCATCCGCTGGCAGCTCCAGGTTTGGATCGTAGGAGCATTGCAAGTCCACACACTTACTCGCTTTTCTTCTCCCGCCGGGCTAGCAACCATTCCACAAAGTTCTTCTTCAGCATGTTGTCCATCGTGCGGCTGTAATCGCTTGCCAGGGTGGCCTCGGAGTAGCGTCTCTGCACTGGTCTGGCGCTGGGAGTCCTTATGCTTACGCTGGGGCGAGAGGACAGAGACAGTGAGTCCCGCGCTTCGCTTGGGCTGCGCATGGTGGCCCATGCGGTCCCTGCATCAGCCAGGTTTTGTGATCACTTGTAATCTCTCTCGGTCCAGGGGACTATTCCTGCGCTCTAACGAGAGGAGGTGGCCAGGGAAGGGGCTACCACACTCCTCGCCCATTTTGCTAGCTGCTAGCACAGCTGCAGCTGGGATCTGAGAATTCGGGAGGAGCTGAGGTCAGGGTGTTTGCTGATGGTCTGGAGTCAGTGTGGTTTTCCCTGCCATACCCTGATTCACACGGGCTTGGGCTGCGAGCTAAGGCACCAGGCGTGCCCAGGCTCCCTCCTCCGGTGGCCTGGGGCCAAGGGGACTTTCTCCCGTCTCCTCGAGGGGCTCGGGGCGGGTGGCAGGGGACAAGGGCTGACCCTGAGACCAGTGCTGATCTGGCGGTGCAGACATAGTGGCCACCTAAGTTAGCAAAGGATTTTGAGGCTGATCCTTTTTTAGGACTGTTGTCTGGGATTCAGCAGCTCCCACTGCTCTAATAAGGATTCTTTTGGGTGTTCTCAGGTGGCGGCTGGAAATTTTGTAGCAGGAGTCCAGGAAAGAGAGGGAGAGTCTATATCATACCTGCTTTGTGTAACTGGTCATGTTTTCAGAAGCTTCCAAATACTGGATGCCCCCCAGCCTCGTTCAGGTGAGCTGATTGCATCTCGTTTCTAGTTCTCAGCCAACCTTCTCCTCCT